GGCACATAAGTTCATTCCAAGAAATAAAAATAGCATGTATCCCATTTTCTTTGACTTGGTGGTTGACTAGACTATAAAGACCTCCACACGTGAGGCTAAGCATGCAATACAATCGATAGTTTAGATGCAACTAGACGATTTGAACTTCGCATACGACCAAGTTCTTCTATTCCATACACACGAATGCGGATGAAGATAACTGTTGTGACAGCAGTTTGTGTATCAGTAGGTCCGTTGTTAGTACTGCTCTAATAATAGACTTAGTCATGAAAAAAGCATAATATTTAACATCTTACGTGGAAGCCACATCACTGCTTACATTGGCTCATCGTGCCTTAACAATCACCAATATATGATTGAGATCACATCTAGTTTGGAGATAAAACAATATATTTAATACGAATAAAAGTGATGTTACACATGCAAGGTCGAATCGTATCATCCTATGAACTGAACTTCGAATGAATGTCGTCGCGTCCACCATTATTGACCTTCTCTTGGTGTTTGTTTTCCCAGTTATCTCATGTTCAGCTTCGAGGATTTTGGTTAGGATCCAGTGCCACTACAGGCCTCAACACACACAAGGGAAAAAGCGAAATTCTCGAATACAACACAGAGCTCTGGAACAGGTGGAAACCCTCATATACTTGGACAGCATCATCACCGATAAACAAGGAGGATCCGATGTCAATGTAAATGTAACTGAAAGAGCGAGGACAAAATTCCTATAGATGAAGAACACATGGAAATCAAAACATTCGTTACCCATTATTGAAGTGAGAATCTTTAACACGAACGTCGAAACAGTTCTACCGTACGGAGCTCAAACGTGTAGAACTGCGACAACCATCACCGAAAAGAAACGGGTACTTTTCCGCACAAAATACTCTAGGTCCACTTTCCACATACAATCAACAAAAGACTACTGCGGGAGATAATAAACAGGTTTTCGCTCAAGAGGAAACTATGAATTTGTGGATAGGGTTTACACTTCGGAAATCATCAGATTGCATCATGAGGCAAGCGTTAACTCGGGATCTTGAGGGCAGAAGCAAGATAGGAAGACCAAGGAACGCGTCGCCTAGGGAATTGGGAGAAAACATCGAAAAAATAAATGCCAAATGGAAACGACTGGAAAGAAATTTCTCGAGACTGAGTTTGATGGAGCTCGTGCTCCCTCATGGAGAGTGATAGGAATAAGCGAACAAAAATTCAGGAGGAAAAGGAGCCAATTTATAGTCCGCCACCGGAAAACTGATTTAATGCGAATAGAAAAAATGGGGAGCACGTGGAATAACAACAGAATGGGAAGAATCATTAAGTACGTGAAAAACAACTGAATGATGTGCGGATAATGTATCTAATGTATGGTTCTCATATTACATCAAAGCACCGTGCAATTTTGTACAAAAAATAAGTCGGTTACCCTATCTATTCTTCGTTCACTACTGTACTACTATTTTCACATGATCCTTGAATACCGTCACTCCGTTAAGTCCTTTGGTATGTGTATGATCGTTCTATATACTCCTTGGCAGGCTTTTCTTCAAAAAATCCTTTACACTCTCCGAGTTTTGTAGCACAAATATTTTGAGCTTCCTTGTATTTAGACTTTTACCATCAATAACCAGCAACCTTAATTTCTCCTACCTTATTTCTCCTTTACCGAGTATTGTACAGAACTACTAACTAAATAGTTGTAGAAAGTTTCCTAAATTCTTTGCTGTAGTCCATTCGAAGGTGATGCAGTATTTGTTACGTAAAAACTTCTGAATATCTCCCACTCCTCCTCATTGAGGAGTTGTGGTCCTATTTTTCGACCAACTAATGATTAAGAGAGTATAATTTTTGTGTATGTGCTTTTTTCGAAGTTTGGCCTTGCCTACACTGACTCATCGTTTTTGACAACGATATGGGAATCGAAGACTGAGTGATTACTCTTACCGTGCGTGGCGCATTATTGATTCACCTCACAGTTTGGACTGCAATAGACAAAACCAATCAGCAGTCTTTGTCTTTTGCATTTCAAACTGCGTACAAGATCCGGAGTTCATTCAAACAGCTTCATGTTTCCGAATCATTCTCTTTCTACGACTCACAACTCAAAAATTTTCACTTCTAAAGTCCATTTCAACAGAGACCAACTTAAGCTTGAGTCCACTTTTAGCTCCTTGCTTTCTCATGCAGTAAGCCAGCTATAATTATTCGCTGATTGAAACCACTTACTATTCAGTATATGTCCATACTGTAGTATTAACTTCATTTCATTAAAATATTTAAAAGAAATCTTTGACAGCCTGGTTTTATTTCTTCAAGTTAATCTGGACACCTAGTCTATAAACCTTTAGCGAGGTGACCCCAGAGATATTTGAGGCATTAACTGGTTAAATAGATCTCTCATCAACACAATGTCAGGTTCAAGGAGCATTCTAGGATCAAAGCCTTTGCTCTCCTTGACTCCATGCGATATAAATGACCTTGCACTTTGATCAATCTAAGATTTTTCAGCTACGGTTAAGGAAATTGGCCTTCTGTTAGGACATTGGTTTGACTCTTACACTGACTTTTACACTATTCATCAGTTTTCACTGGCGTAGCTATCATATTTGCGTCACGCATATCGTGAGATTCCGAACGACTGTTCGTTACTTGGGTTATTAGGTGTCGTGACGGGTTATTTTCTATGCAGGATACGACTTTAGCCTTATGATTATGTTTTTTCGGTTCTAGCGATATATATATATATATATATATATATATATATATATATATATATATATTATATGTATAAGCTACACTGGCCACATATTGCCAAATTTACTCCAAGAGCTCAGTTTCGAGGAGACAGTGACCCAACTGTCAAGGATACTCGATAAACCACACTCGTCGCTCAATAATAATAATAATTAATTCTCAAATAACAATCTGCTACACGAGGTAAGCTCGTTTACAGACAACATTAATTTGTTACAGGAGATACCGTCTTCACTGTGGTTAATTACTCAGTAAGTTTGATATTTCATAAGGCACGTTGATCATAAAATCATGGGGGTTAACAAATCTCTCATACGAATACAACTAATATCAGTCAAATGCGTTTTGTCAATTTGACAGTTGGCGCGCTTTATGGGGTTCGCGTTGCGAGGATCAAATGATAGTCCAGGATGAATCCATGTCAATTTGAGAGCTTCTATTTACTATGACCCTATATCCCTCTCGAACATCTGAGCTATTAATGACGGCGCAAGACAAAGTCACCCTTTCCGTATGCGTTATCGGTGGCATATCTAGAGGAAGCTGAAAAAGTAGGTAAGCAAAATAAAGAACGAGAAGCAAAACTGACAGTGTTCATGCCTACTAGAAGTGAGTCATTTGTAGTGAGGTAGTGAATGTACGACCACCCAGTCCAAATTTCTATAATTAAGGTACTTTCCCGAGCTTCCAATTTTGGGGAAACTCCCGAAGTCAAGTGACCTCGACCAAGGTTAAAGGGAAATTTTAGGGTTTTTGTGCCGTTCCCCAAAATTTATTATAGCGGCTTCACCAAAATTGGGAGCTTGGGTAAGCAGGAGAATTCTAGTAGCCCAAGTTTAGGGAAATTCTGTAGTAATGTCCAAAGTGAAATGGCCTTCCCCAAAGTTTGTCAGTTTTATGTAAATCTCCAAGGTTTGAAAAAATTTTGAGGGAAATCCCCAAAATTCGCGTTGCGTATTATTCCATACTAACATTTTATCACCATTGTATTACTAGACTTTTTAATAATAAATCACAATTAAGAAAGATATTTTAGTCTACATAAGCGAGTCGTTTAAACTTAATACTGTACAGGCGTTTCGAAAGCTGAACTGAACTCATTGATGTGCTGAAGAGATTCCCTTCTCATACTAATCATACTGATTACAATCACGCCTAAAGTAAACTGCTTTTTGATCAATTCTACTTTTTAGATATTCGTTGATATTGACGGATAATTTTGGTCGTGGGCGTCCTGTTCTGTTTGTCTGCAAGAAGAATTATGAGCAGACGTGACGTGGATGGTGGATAAATTGTGACATGCTGTCGTTGTCATTATATCCTACTAGCATACATAAGACGGACTTTTACAGCTCGATCAATTACAAAATATAAATTGTATAGTCCATCACATTCTTTGCATTGCATCCAATGGTAGATAACACACACAGCTTCCATAATAACACAACAATTCCACTACCCAGACGAAGCAAACGAAGGTAACTTAAGAATCATCAGTAGTTTCTCTAGCGCTTGTCTTTGTGTAGCATTCTGTACGATAGAAAATATGAATCAAAATATCACAAAGTGCGGAGACGTGACAGGAACTGTGTACTATAAAAAGTTCTTCATAGTAGTATTTTTAACTTGACTATATATTCAACTTGTAAACTGATTTTTCTGCATCAAATGTCGCTCTTCCTTTACCAGTAGTAGATGTATCAGTAAACTCTTATCCAGTTTTTACTCACTCCGTAGTTTCATGGGGAGACATACCGATAATCTTAACGGGCAACTATTTGTGAAAATTGAAAACAATTAAGTATTTGCTTTATAAGTACCCGTTTCGTTACGAAAATTTGTAGTGCTGCATCAGTTTAGAAGTCTCGCTAGAATGTTGCGTTGTGTATGAGTTTCTTTATTATGACAGTATATTCGGATGGGTACTTGTAGCGGCATTGTTTCCTAACCACACACTGTCTCCGAAACCAAGCATATAATGACCGGAAAGATGTGTATTCGACACGACAGTGGTAGACGTGGAGATATTCGATCTGATGGCATGATTTAACCTTACAGACGTGGTTATTATGTGTAACTCATTACAATTCACATTAAATACACTATCTTATCCCCAGTCCAAATGTATTCTTGAGAAGTGCTGATTGTCAAGGAGCGATGTGATTGCCACATAATATCTTACAGATGAGGCAATCACATCATGACAAATTCACTGTTTCGGATTATAATTCTACATGACAACAAGATTAATAGTGCAAAGACTGAGTACAGTTGTTATATTTATGTTTAAATCCATTAGATGAATAAACGTGACAGTAGTCAATATAAAACACAGATTTCGTGAACCTGTACATGGTCTCCTCGCGTAATCTTCCATATTCAGAAATTCGCTAAGTTTTTCACCTGCATAACCTTGATTATTAGAAAGTTTTGAGCCTTTCAATTAGTTGACAGAAGCCATCAATTGCATATCAGAACACGTATGGGGACCTTCCGAGTTTAATGCAAATCTGAAAAACAACAAATTAATGGTAAAAAAAAACGATTAGACTTCGTTATCAGTATCACGTTCAATAAGTAAATACAATAGCAGCTAACAGAATGTACCTGGGACTGGAGGTGTTGAGCAGAAAACAGGTACCATAGCAATGCATTCAAAATCGACTTAAGCAATTAGTGGTCGTAAATATCTCTAAACGTGGTGTTGACCTCATAGGTTTTACCTGAAATACCACTACTCGAATGCACTCGGTCAAGGATTCTTACCAGATGACGTTAGGCTGCTCCATGCTGCACATTCACTCAGTCAGCTACAACGTAGGACCAGACACATATATGCATCGGTCCAAGTTGCTATACCGCATCAGCACAACATGATGGACACCAGATTCATAGGTAATATATAAAAGAAAGATATGAAGCGATTTTAATCTTAGTTTAAAGGAAGACAGTATATACCTACGCCATTGTAATCGATTCTGAGTCATGTCACCAAGAATCTTCAAACATTAGTTATGGTAGTCGCGCGGACCCCAACCCAGTAGTCTGTGACTACCAACATGGCTAAGACTAAGAGTTAGTGACTTCAAGGATTGGCACCACATCCTGGTTTGGCCGTCCCTAACTTTCGTCCAAACATTCGCCACACTATTCAGCATTGGGCGTCGTGGTAATCGGTGTTCGGGCATACGCAACAAGTGGCCCAACCATCTCACTTGGTAAAGATTCACAACCTCACCAAATGATTTACCATCAATCGTCCGACCTCACTATTACTTACCCGGCGATCCCAGCAGTTGTGAGCAATATTTATAAGGCATCTGTGGTCAAATACTAGTAGCTTACGAGTATCTTCTACTCCTAATGGCCACGATTCGCAGCCGTAAAGTAGAACAGAACGAACTGCCGCGCAGTATACCCATTCTTTTATTGATAGACGGATATCTCGCCTTCGCCATAGGTGACGTAAGTTGGTGAAAGCCAAACGAGCTTTTCAAATCCGTCCTGAGATTTTGTCAGATATCAACCCATTAGGGCTGATCAGACTTCCAAGATAAGTGAAGTTCTCAACGCGTTCGACTACTTCACTCCCTAACCTTATTTCAGGTGTTGATGCAGACCAGTCCTGAAACAACAACTTGCATTTAGACGAGAAGCGCATCCCAAACTTCCTGACATTGTTGCTCAGTTCTACGAAAAGACAGCGCTTTATCAGCGTCTTCACTAAACAGGACTATGTCATCTGCGTATTCTAAGTCGATGAGTGGCCTCCTGGAAGATCAATACCCGGGAATTCAGTTGACGAGAACGTTATTTCCATCAGTAGGTCTGTGATGAAGTTAAACGATAACTGATTACCTTGGATACCACACAATGCAAATATACGTTCACACTTCGTCCCTATAGACTTCTGGTTTTATTGACTTACAGATCATTGCATAAAAAGAATGTTGGGGGGAATTTTTCCTATTCCGCGTGTCCTAAGCCTCTAGGTTGATGAACATCTGTGATCCGGTAAACTAACCGGTATATTATGAGTCTGCTGTAAGACTGTCGTAACGTTAAATACATTTTTGTGTATGCTCGTTTTTTCTCTTGTATCGAATTTGTTTTGGATATTTGTGTATTTCGCTGTTATCATGTCTAAGCACAGTTAAAGTTATAAGGACCATTACCCTTCACCCATCAATCCATGACGGATAGAACTTCCGCATGGTAACAAGGAGTCGATGCCGCGCGAACTTAATAGGTATGTTTATTGGCGATTTCTCAGGGCCCCACGAAACCTGAAACTGGTTATTATTTAACGTAGGGACCTGACTGAGCCCAAAAGTTTGAATGACACACTTTATAGTTCAAAGTTAGTATATGTTCTGGAAAAAAACATGTGGCAATGCATAAAAGGTGTTACTGTCCAACGAGCCTTCGACGTGAGTCTCTTGTGAAAACTTTCCCTAACAAAGCTCTCAAAACATATTCAGGCAGTTTTCATTTTTGTTCCAAAAACAATATGCCTGGTGCCTTTTAGGAGGGGATATTCACATCAAGCCACCGATAAACGCCGGTTAAATGTCAATCATTTTTATCGATCGTATGCTGTGCGGATGTCAAGAAACATTTTTATCGCCGGACAAATGGTAAATTCAACATATGATTCAGTCAGTTTCTCGTCACTCTTCTACAGTGAACGATTAGCGTGCCTTGGAGCATATAAGTGTTCCTGAGATGTGATAAGTTACGAAACATCGTACCGTGTCTTTTTTATCTGTTCAACATCCATCTCAAGAAAATGTAGTCAGTCTTTGAATGCTGCTTCCTTCATCCTATTATCCATTTTACTAACGAAATCGAGAGGATAAAAAGTGGATGCAACATAAGTTCACAAAGATGGTGGAAACAAGTAGTAAGTGCTTTTGTAAAGGTTGGTTCCAAAGTCACTGCCGAACATCATGTTAGAAGTAAATACCTACTGGTGAATTTCTTGAATACGTCGCACAGTCTAAGCAGGGCTATAGTCAAAACAGCTAACTTTCAGTCAGTCAGTAACAACGTAGAACTTCGTACGTACGTACATCAGTTCGAGTTGCCATACCACATTAGCACAGAGACACAGTTGTCGATTCGAATCCCGTAGTGGTAGAGGTAGTAAGAGTATAAGCAGTAATCGGAAACATTAGGGTTTGGAGATGTTATTCAAAGAGTATAATCCAGTGAAACAAATTTGGGAAGAGAAAAAAAGCGACATAAAGAATTCAGAAGATTAGAATTTAGGAGAACTCAAAGAGTGGATGCACCTGTTGATGAGACTTCTAAGTTAAGTGAAGCGGTCGACACGCTCAACTACTTCACTCCCTATCATTAGTTTGGGTGTCGATGCAACCCAATCCTGAAGCAACATTTTGCATTTCGAGGGGGAGAATCGCATCCCGAACATGCTTGCATTGTTGCTTAGAGTGGTCAGAAGACTCTGCATTTTGTCAGCGTCTTCACCGAATAAAACTATGTCATCAGCATATTCTAAGTCAACAAGTGAACCTCCCAGTAGAGGTTCAACCCCTGGAAATTTAGATGAGGAGAGTGTTATCTCTAAAAGTACGTCGACCACAAAGTTGAACAAGAATGGGGAGAGTAGACAGCCTTGACGAACACCACTTGAGGTAATCAATTATGATGACAGTTCGCCATAAGCTCTCACTGTACCAGTTGTGTTCGAGTAGAGAGCATTTATAAGGTTAATGTACTTCTTTGGTACTCCTTTCAGTGACAAACACTTCCATAGAACCTCACGATCAACAGAGTCGAATGCCGCCTTAAGGTCGAGAAATACTACCATTGTGGGGCGTTTGAACGTGTGTCTGTGTTCTAGAACCTGACGTAGTGTGAATATCTGGTCTATACAACCACACCCAGGTCGAAAACCGGCCTGATTTTCTCTAATCTGCTCTTCACGAGCTTGATTAGGCGTCCAAGTATTATTGAAGCTAATATTTTAGACACTATATTAGTCAAACTGATTCCTCTGGGATTGTCACAAGAGGACTTTTGTCCTTTCTTATAGACTGGCACAATCAGTGATTGAGACCAGTCAGATGGGATTACGTCCAGTTCCAAAACTCTACCTAGGACCTCAGTTAATCTCACTGCTAATACTGGACCATCATCCCTAAAAATCTCAGGAGTGAACCTGTCAGGGCCTGTTGCTCTCCCTCGCTTCAGATTTCCTATGGCTTTTTCAACTTCATAAAGAGTCGGAGGACCTAAATTAACTTGTCATTCAGGTTGACTGGAGACCGTGGGAAACCGAAGTGTGGCTGAAGGCCAGTTGAACTGATCCCTAAAGTGTTCTGCCCATCGATTCAATCTCCTGGATTGAGAATGTATATGTCTATCTTTCTCTGAGATTGTTTCGCTAACGGTCAGGTTCCTAATACCGGTTTCCTTAACACGTCTGGACATTTGTCTGCTATTACCTATTGCCGCTGCCATTTCCATCTCTCTTGCTTTCGCTACCCACCACTGTTCACGATCATTGCGTAAGCTTCTTGTCAGCTTGCACTTAAACTGACTCCGCACTTCGTTATGTTCAGAGTCAGATGGGATGAGTTTCCGAGCATCTATCAGTGCGGTAGATGCTGCTGAGATCCAGTGTTGCTTCCTAACCTTACGGTTTACCGTACTAGCAAATATCACTGCTGTTTCCACAGCTTTTCGGATATCATTCCATGCTGCCTCGGGGTGGGCATCATTTACATGACTGCCTAAATGTTTTCCTAGTTGTTGCTGAAATATAGTTCTAGTTTGACTATCATTAGACAGGACCCTAAGAGGTTTCCTTGCAGCGTCTTTCTTACGTCCAGTAAGACGCAGACAGATACGCGCTCGTACTAGAGCATGACCTGAGTCTAAACATGTGCTCCAGAATGAGCGACAGTCTTCTATCGAGCCCCTCCATCGGTGGCTGATAGCGATGTGATCTATTTGGGTCCAACGTTGGGACGAATTAGGGGGTCGCCATGTTGAAAGATGTTTTTCCTTATGCTTAAAGTTAGTATTTGCAAGAAACAGGCGGTTATCTGAGCATAGCTGCAACAGACGGTCGCCATTATCTGTTCTTTGAGCCACGGCACCATAAGATCCACCTAGGTGTCTTTCCCTTTCGCTTAGTTTACCTACTTGAGCATTAAAGTCACCAGCCACTATTACTACATCAGAGCGCCTAGCTTTTCGGAGGTCGGAAAGCTTTCTGTGAAACTCATCTTTTACATCATCTGAGTTGCAGTCAGTGGGAGAATAGGCAGAGACGACGAAGAGGCAACGACGAGTCTCCCTATCTTTCCGAGTCCTTATTTTTCCGTTTAGTCGGACAGCGCACAAACGACTGTCTACTGGGATCCAGTCTAAGAGAGCTAGTTCTGCACCAGGACTCAATGCTATACCTACGCCGGCGAGGCCACGAGGAGCAGCATCTGGGCTTCCAGATACACGAAGTGTGAATCGAGTTGGTTCTTTGTTTTGACATGGTGAGGTCAAATGAATGACGCTACTCGGATCCTGTATGCGCGTTTCGGAGACGCAGCACACATCGATGGCACGAGATTCTAAAGTCCTAGCTAAGGAAGCCTGTTGTCCTATTTGGCATAGTGTTCGTACGTTAAAACTTCTACATGTAGTTTAGAGCGTGGTTTCAGGAGACCAGGAATAACGTTCCGCGTACTCGAATCGTTTGCCTTAGCGGTGCGAGGTGAAAAAAAGACGTGAGAAGGGTTAGTCGGGGAGATAAGAGAGGTATTAGGTGTAGGAGGGATTTGAATGTGACCAACTTGGTCTCGTGTGCTGTTACGGGTATGAGGGCTGATATCACTTCCCGGCTGTCCACACCGTGGAAGGGTATTTCTTGAGGAACCTGTAAAGGACATAGGATTAATGTCGGCCATAACGGCGTGGGAGCGTGACCGCAGAGCCCAAGGGACAACTACTTGAGACCAGTCACACACGGCCTTTTCGTGGGAGGTTTTTAATATGTTAGCTCCGTTCTTTAAAGGGCCTTACCGCCGGAGACGGAAATTCGTGAAGTGAGGTGTGGCATTTTTAGGGTCGATCTTTTCTAACCCCGCCCCTCCTTGTGGGAATGCAGCATCGCTGCAGATGCTGGTTGCCCGAGGGAAACACCTTACTGCTGTCACACTCCTCTACAGTCAGCAGTACGACTTCGCCCTCAGACCTTGAGTTGCTGCTTTTAGTCTTACCGTTCTCCAATCGACCTGCCTGACATGGTAGAACCTACAGGAACATATGTTCAAGCCAATATAGCTCGGTTGGGTCATCACGATAGGCAAGCCCGACCACCACGTCAAGGTAGCAGCTACGGTCGGTCTAACTTTATATATTGCAAACAATTATAGTCTGTTTATAAAATATAAATCAAAACAATTAGTACAAAAACGAAAGATAGTCAATTAAAAAAGGATAATAAACGCACATATACTTTACGGTAGCAGAGACAACGAAATGAATCAGCAACAAGGGTTAACCATGTCTATGCAACTGGTACAATTTCGGGATTAGCAGTTAAATAAAGAGTATCAGAGTAATAATTAATCTCGGATTAAATGATTCTTAATAAATGGACGTTTAGGTCAAATATTATTGGTTGATTCACTCTTTTCGTAAGAAATTGACTTATTCTTTTAGTAAAATTTATCTGATGTCTCTGTTTAACTTGAAAGTTATTTTTATCAGAGTACGTCTCTAAACATATACAAGATTAAGTGTAATGGTTAGGCGATGTGACTGATATTCAGTGAAAACAAGAAAGCAATGAACAGCTGTTTCGTCTTGGCATGGGACCTATCAGCTACCCAACTAAGGGTTGGAAAGATAACTCATAGCCTCTAGGTCACTGTGTAGACATCTTAGGTCACACATCGAGCATTTGATATAAAGGTCTAATCCACAAGGCAGTGGAGCAACGTTAGGAGATGCAGACCCACGGTAGCCGGTGACCAAAGATTGGTTCATATGCCATTTGTTCCTTTATGATACTAGAGCCAAGATTAAATAAAAATAATTTTTTTGTCGATTTCAACGTACTTGTAATTATCATCTATTGTAGCAACTATCTACACTGTTCGGAGCCTAGGCACTCAACGATTAAACAAAATTTTTATCAAAAATATTACTTCGCATTTTCGCGAAGTAATTTTATTAGCCGCAGTAATGATTTTATTCCTTCACAATAATACCAAGTTTTTCTGCATCGTAATTTATGAAAGGCAATGAATAGAGAAAATCGCTATTTAATATCTTATCTCACAACAAAACATGTAGTAGCTTTAGGAGTATCATAAAGGTTCTGAGTGCTTGGATATTACTTACAAAGCATTAAATAAAATAATGACACTAATGTACATTTATTCACGCACTTCTATTGTTTTCAACGTTTGTGACCTCTAATTTACTGACAGAATTCAACAAATCTTCAACATAATTTTCTCTTTCGACAGGATGACCACGTGCCCATTCGAATTCTACAAAACAGTGAGCTGTTTCCCATGACAAAAGCACTTACCTCTAAGAGCATCTTTAGGATTTATATTCATAAAATCGATAAGATATCTTGAGACTAATAGGTAGTATGGTAGCGAACATTACCTGCATATTAAATAACCCGTTCGGTTTACGCCATGTGTGCAGTGTACAGCAATTATGCCATCTAAAAACACAAAAATTAGAACATTAATAGCACTCATATTTATGAGAATATACTCGAAAATGTAGATAAGTAGTTGAATATTCATAACAGCTATGGTAAAATGATAAACAATGATACATTTAACAGGAGTGTTCTAAATCACATGAAATGAAAGCTAGTTTTTAAAGTACACTTAATTATTTGGAACGGAAATGGGGGGAAATTATATCAGACTAGTCGATCAGAAAAGCTACGATATCAGAACTTTGCGAGGTCATTTATCATTTATTTATTAATTTGAACACATAAATATTGGTACAGGAGGGCACCAAATATATATGCGCCACACAAAACAATGAGAATTTGCAGAGAAGGAAGAAAAGATAAGGAGCGTAGAAAAACGATAACGAACAGATTAGTGTAAGGTAGTGTAATAATAATAATGAGGGAAACAGAAACGTACACTCAGAAGAGATCTTTCATTTAAGGAAGACGCAACCACTTTTATGAAGAAAGTAAAAGGTTACAACAGGATCGCCACTGGCTTCTATTCTGAGCCGTATCTGATAACGTCTCTACTCGAGAACGTTTAGATAGAGCCGAGGTGAAACTGTAGGATCTTGTAAGATAAGTATTCGAGCGAATGTTTCAGGCACGCATTCACACAAATGATCACAGATAGTTCCCAAGGGACCTGTAGATAGATGAGGAAGAATTGATCATGAAATATTTACTCAGTAAACTGAAATCCAACACTTGCAACACAACACAATTAACAGGCAATCTGGTTAACAGGAAAATATTAATACCTTTATAGTTGACAAACGAGGAGCGTTGGGATAAAGCAAAACTTCGGACATTAACACCCAACAGCGATACTCAGTCAGTCATAGTAGTGCTGCTCAAAGGTAATCCATAAATTATAGTCTCACCGTAGAATGATAGTCCTGCAATCATTTATATGTGGTGAATGAGGCTTTTCGAAACGTTTGAGTGACGGACCTATTGTAGTCTCTGACAAAACAAAGTGGAAGGATAGGCTTTGGCAGGTACGGAAAAGAGGAACAAACCTTAGACGTTATTAGTACCGACAAGTAGGAAAATTTTGAGACAATATGCAGATATTTTAAAGTCGAAAAAAAGAAACGAAGTAGGATATTATGAAAGACTGAATTTAAACTAAATCAAAACACAACGACTTATTGCAAATTTAATATATCACAGGAAAACAACAATTTAAGGTTGCATAAAGAAATAACAGCTAACCTGGAGATTGTTTACGTTCCTTGTTAACCATATTGATAAACCTATAAAAGTCGATTCTGAACTTAATAAGAACTTGCTGTTCAACAGTTTTCGAATTTGGGATTGCATGTCCTTCCACATATATCTTATGGTAACTTATATTATTATCATGAAGGAACTGGGAAGGTAAATAACGAGGAGTTACCTTTGGCGAATAATAGTTTGCATAAGTCAAATCTATGACACACGTCAATTTTTGGTTGTATGATTCAACACAGTTAATAAGGTCACCTAGTGTAAATCTGAACAGTGTTTATTGAAACAAGCACACTCTTACCTTAAATGAAAAGGAATATTGCTGGACTTTTCTGATGGTATAGGTAGTTTTATCGGAAGCAAACGCGTCCCTTTAACCGGGACGCCCAATGAGGTATAATCAAACCAACTAAAAAAGGATGTAAGATTATAAAGATATCGTTAAAATATGAACGATTATAAAACAATCAGTCTTGCAATTTGTGTACAATAGAAGTCTGTTTACTTAAAATACCACGAACTGTTGTAAAATTACTAGACAGACTTAAATGTTGTCAAATAAGAAGGCAGTTTATAATATAGATTAAATGAAATTACCGATCAGGCGGGTAGCGCGGCATCTTCGTTAACACTTAGGTTACGTGGCACGGCAGGGCAAGGTAAAAACGGTAATCCCTTTCAAATCTGTCCGCCGTTTCGTTTCAACGACCTTGAACGCGCTGACTGGAAGCGGGCATTCCGTATTTCAATTGCCGTGTGTGTTGGGTCCTATGAGTATTAAATGTTTCCATATATAAGTCATCTTTTGATGCATAATAAACACTAAATAACTGCTAAGAGCGTTAACTGAGTATTTTCTGTTTTGTAGTGCACACTTTAGCTCTGTTATTCCTTCGAAACTTGATCTGTGGTCCTAAGTGCTGTAGTGAAAGTCAACAGCTATATATAATTTGTTGATAAGGTCCAGAAAACAACGTAAGAAAGATAAAATAACGTAAAAGGTTATAGATGCGCATAGTTTTTGTGAGTTAAGACGAAATGTCAACTGAAGGGTAAGTCCTAAATATTTGTTGTTCTTCCTTCACTTAATTTTTTTCAAGGAATAACCTTTTTTTAATAACTATTGTATGTTGTCTCTAGTGCTTCATGCTCAAGTGAAATTTCAGTGAACGTAAGCGACGCGTTCCAACGTATTATGCTGAATAAGAGATTTGGAAGCTGGATTGAATTAGATAATGCGCTAAAGGATTTCCATAAAGTATGATGGGATTTTTACTCAAAGACGACCGCCGTTTCGTTCAACCGACCTTGAAAGGCCGAACATGGAGCGGTCATTACGTAATTAAATTGGGGTTGTTTGGATTCCGTTGAGTTTCAGTCTTTAGTTATAAGGATAGGACATGAGGTCTGTCCACTAGTATCAATCCTTGCAGTTTTTAACACTGGGTGTCCAATCTCGTTTTGAATATATCAACGGAAGGTGCTGATATTACGCGTTTTGATAGCGAATTCCAGTAATTGACTACTTGGTGCGAGAAATGAAACTGCAGATGTAGACGATTTGATCTTGGTTTTTTAACTTGCTTCTCAAATGATGAGTCCTAGGCGGAAGGAAAAGATAAGACATATTAGTGCCAAAGTCATCGTTCAATATAGTATTCTACGGTAAGAAAACGAAAATAAGTTGAGGTGTCTCAGTCTGTCTACATAAGATAGGCAGATAGACCTTTTACCATCTTAGTACCTTGTCATTGGACTCTTTCCAGCATATCTGTTTCATACTCGAAACAAGAACTCGCTGCTTGAATCCCATATTCCAAATGTAATTGCACATAAATCGGGTACAATAATTTAAACATTTCGTCATTTAAATACTGGTAAGACCCACAAATACACCCTAACACCCGATAGACTTTTGTAGCAGCAACAGCCTTACAGTGACTGGTGGTTTTGAGATCACTGCTTAATATTACTCCTAAATCTTTATAGTTTCTTACTTTGGGTAACACGAATCCACATATTGTGTAGTGATACGAATCATCATGATTATTTAATTGCATCACTACACTATCATTAGGACCTTCTTCTAGTGACCATCTGTCCAACCATGTCACCAATGAGCTAGGATCATCCCGTTATATTATTCTACTTGACTTACTGTGCAAAGGTCTCCGAATCTTTATGTCGTCGGCGAGAAGAAGAGTAGATAACTCTTCCACAGTTGGTGAATCAACTACATGAAGGAAAAGGAGAGGTAAACCGAGCACTGCGCCTTGGAGAACTCCACTTTTTACAGTTCCTCAGGATGAGAGTTATTTTAACCATTACGCTGTGTCTCTTGTCATGGAGGAGGTCGCTTACCCAGTTTATAACCTTGTAATATATTCCAAAACTTTCCAGTTCTAATTTAATGCTTGAATGGGAGACTTTATCAAAGGCTTTACATAGATCTATGAAGATCACATCCACAAGAATATTCCAATCTTTTGCCGCAGCCCAATCTTCTCTTGCAATTATCATGTTTGTCAAACATGATAGGCCTCTCCGAAAACCATGTTGTCCCCTGGAAAAACGATTATTCCCTTCAACATAGTTTATAATAGCCATCCAAATGATTTTTTTCATTAGGCTTATCAGACAGTATGGCTATAGGTTCAGCAAATACATCCAATAGGGCTTTTATAATCATAGGATGAATATCATCAGAACCACTGGACTTATCAGGTTTGAGATACCGAGGTGGTCTCGTAACAGTGCCCTTCGCAATAATTACAAGGTCCAACAACAAGCCGCCAAAATCACAGTGAATCTTTTGTCGTTCCTCATTACTGATAGAAAACACTTCACTGAAATATTCCGACAAAGCTACAGATTTTTCGACATCATCTCTTGCCAATATTGACGGATGTTCTCGTACCAAAAATGATGGAATTCCATCACTATTCTGAGTTTGCCTTTTCAGGCACGCGAATAACTGTTTCGGACCATTTTTATAATCACTTACCCATTGTACTGCTCTAAGCCAGTACAGATGAATACATTCCAATATCTTTTCCCACGTGTAAGATATCTATTGACTTGTTCAGTTATCCATGGTGGACAGTATTTCGATCTACGTGGTACCAGGCGTGATATAAACGAGGAGGAAACTGAACCAAACTTGCCTTTAAATATAGGCCATGCTTCTTCAATTGATGAGCTAGTGTCAACTGACCAATCTGCCTTAGCGGCATACTTCCTTACATCTATGTCTATGGCGTTCGGATAATTCAGGATCAATGGTGAAACCATGGACTTACCAAGTTTATGTCACAGCTACAACGAGTGGCCTTAAATTGTCCACCAATGTTCCTAATTCATCAAATTTACTTCATAGACTACGAGCATTGGCATATCAAAATCCCAGATGTAACAGCCTATTCACACAAACCATGGTAGCGTTCGCTTCCCATACTTGAGAATTCGAACATTAATTAATCAGAGATTTTACTCAACATCATGTCGACGAGTTTCTTGTCCAGCTAGTGCCGTCTTCCTTTCTATTCCATCTTCAAGAGACATACCACGTCTTACTTGAATATCGGTATCGTCGTGACTACGAGTGTAACCTGACAGATCATGTGCTTTGCCGACCCTAAGATTAGCTTAAGGAGTCTATATGGTCGAGGTTCAAAACCGTCATCGGTCCTCGTACCTATCCTTATCAATTTTTTAACAAGAAATCCTTTAGAATTGTCCGGTAAGATGCCACGGGTATGTTCCAAGAACCTTCAGAAATAATGCGCGTATACAGATTTGCGATCAAGGCGGTTTGACTTGTAGTGGCATTGGACAATAGCCACACAATCCACAAAGCTGTGAACACGAAACTACTCAGAAAATAGATGTTCAATATTTAACGCGGAGAAATACCTAACGATGTGGAAGGCGCGAACAATGAATTGAATGGACTGGGTTTGATCGGATGGCATGGCTCGGCCATGCAGGCGTGGTCCATCTGAATGTTACCTTATATCTTCTATTCATATTAAATATATTGTTCCTTCTCTAGCCTAACTTTGTTCTACATCATGTATTGGTAATTGATACGATACAGTGAGTTGGCGTAGTCGATGGTGTGACTTCCACGTAAGATCTTATAGATTAAGCAGTTATATCATGACAAATCTACAAAATTAGGATTAGGTCTATTATTAGTGCAGTACTAATATCATAGTAGACCATAATTCTACATTGGTGAGCCCAACTAAAGAAACGCAACCTGTTATTGTTAATCCTTATTTCCACCTTAACCTTCTCAATCGGTTTTTATTTTTGTAAACCCACTATTCTAATAGTCCTTTGATTAATGGTCACATATATTATCGTGATGTTATATCTATTAGTTCACATAACTTACTAGCTCAATCGATAATAAAAGTTGATCATCTATATCAACTAATTAGCTTCGATGGTTCGTTAACAAGCTTTAATAGCATTTACCTGCTTCAGCGACATAGACTTGTTTAAACATCAAGCTCTAGCAAATATGACCTGTAAATAGCATAAATATACATTGACTAACAATGCAATCAAGGATTGAATAGTTATCTGGATCTAATTCTTAGTGTTCCTTCGCTTAACACCTCATCCTGTTTTAAACTATGTACTATCCTGTAATATCTTTTCTTCCGACCACTGCCTGCCTAATTTCATACTCTCGAGTTCCATTGCCAAACAACAAGGATGACACTTCTCCAAAAAATACTGTGAGTTCCAGCTATAAGTTTTCTGCAATCATAAGTTAATTTTAGATGGCTCATTCAATGGCACACACAATTATCTGGATTCATTCAGTTGTTCTGATCAGAGTGAGTCCCAAAAACCTCAACAGCATCAAGCACCCTGGGATTAATTGCCATACTGCATGTTTTATTCTGGATGCTTTTGGATCATTACTACTCACGAATGGCGTTATATATGTCGTCCACTGAATAATCTAATTTTCAAAAATAATCAGGGCGAGTTCAACTATTTTACTTAATGATTTTTTTTACTTAACATGTATATGTTTTCTAGTTGCTTTTGCCATATATTTGTAAGTGTCACTAAGCTAAACGCAGTAACTTTATGGAAGGTTTATAACGCATCATATTCCTGCCTGAAGTTTCACAAGCAGTCTTAACTTTAAAATTATTTTTCTGGTCATGTTCATTATTTTTAAATTGTCATATACATCAACAACCTGCATGTTAACCTGACCCGTACATACGTTGCACTATATATTCTTGTCTTCTAAATTTAGAAATCATCTGAATCGCCTTTAACATTTATCAATAAGCCCATCATAGTCGTTGTTACTTTACCTATTTGGGTTTATGGATTGGTTTATTATATTAGCAGCCTAAAATGCGAACATAGTTTAGATAATAAGATTAAAAATTAAGGTACTATCAACGGCACTAGTCAAATAACCAAATCCCTAGGTAGCTGTTGGCTAAACAAACGTTTAAAATCAAAACTCCGTAGCCTACTAGAATTAACACTAAACGAATATTTGTGGATTGAAATTTATAATTAAATTAGGCGTCTCGGATTCTTTAACGTTATAAATTTCTGATGATTTCGAATCACCTAAAGCAACAATACCTATTTTTCCACTGAATAATCCTCAATCAACACCATAACTAGTTAAACCTAATAGTTTCAGGATATCGTCATAAAGCATTGTCATGACTTGACAATCACGTAATATGACTGA